GAATAAGTGAAAGAGATGGCATTTTTGCCTGTTTTCCTTGGGAGAAATCCTCCTCAAAAAAAAAAGGGGGGCGGGGGAGGAAAAGAAGGGAAAAATGAAAAGCCCGCAGTACTTTCCGCAGGGGCTGCTGGCGAGCGGGCGGCCGGGAACGATCGCACTCAGGCAAACCCTTCAAGTGCCGTAGAAAATGCCTCTCTGAATTTGTTCAGTCGAATAAATCTGACTTAACCATAGCCCAGATTACTGGAGTCATTTAATTACAGATAGTATTGATCCCGAAGTTATCTCGAGAGCTGGCCACACTCCTTGGAGCGGCCAAAGGTAAACACGGGTCCTTTTTCTTTTTTTTTTTTTAAAGCAGTTTAAACTCTGGTTCTGTCTGAAAGTGCCTGATAAAGGCCCCAGCAAGGGGGGGAAAGGGGAACGGGAGCATTTTAATAAGCTGGTTTAACCCGCTTCGCTGCCTCTTCAGAACAGAGAGCGGCGGTGCCAGACACACAGCTCCGCCGCATTTTCATATTCTCCTAAAGTCCCCCATTAAAAAGCTGAGCGGGGAACAAGGGGTGAGTTTAATTTGCTTTTAGTTTGCTAATTGAAGGGGAGGACGGTTCATTTCTGCCCGCTGATCTCCCCAAAGCGAGCTCGTTTGTAGGGAACCGGGGGTTTGACATCTGGACAAAAGACCCCAAGCAGCTTCGGAATCAGACGGGACAAAGACCACCTTAAATACAGCTTTGCCAGTGGAAATAAGCCTGTGACCGGTCCCTTGTTCCGAGAACCTCATAAAAGTGGCGATCCCTTTGTTTTGTTTTGTTAGCCAGACATTTTAAAACAAAAGCCCCAACCTCTTTATTGCTTCCCCCCGAAAAGGGGGGGAAAAAGTGTTACAACTTAATCCCATCTGTTTACGGAGAACTTTGAACCAGGCTGCGGCTGGGGGTTATCCCCCCCGCCCCCCTTTAAGTACAGTGCCACATACTGTAGCAGGGACACGTCTCTCGGGCTGAGCCTCCCGGACAGGGAGGAGAAAAAATATATAAGCCAAACCCTACAACGTCTCCTCCAGCCACAGCAAGGAGAACGAACCATGCAGCTCGGGAGAAGCCGAGCGCAGAAACCCTCGCGCTAAATAATCCATCCGGTTCCGAGCAGACACACGCGTAACACGCGTCCGAACCAGATTAACGCGGAACAGCGAGGGCAGACGGGGCGCCCCGAGCCGCTGTGGTGACAATCCTCACACAACTCAGTCCCCTGGCGGGCCAGCACCCGAGGGGACCCGCACCCCGTCCCTGCAGACGGGACACCCCACAGCCGAGCCGAGCCTTCTGGCTTTGCTGTGAACCCAGGCCTCCCTGGTTGCGGCAGGTGCTGGGGACCAGCTGCAGCAGGACAAACCCGACGGGGCCCTCCGTCGGGCCCAGCGCGGGTCTAGCCCGCAAAGCCGCCACAGGCCGCAGGGCCGCGAGCAGAGGCCCGGTGCCGCTTGGCACCGACGTGCAGGGCCCGACGCCGGCCCCAGAGCCGCAGCCCCCGACGGGAGGAGGTCTCTCCTCTCACCTGAGTTTCCGTGAGGCTGAGGCTGTGCGCCAGCTGCTTCCTCTCCGCTCCCACGACATAATGGTTCTTCTCGAAGGCATGTTCCAGCCGCAGGAGCTGGGACGGGGAGAAGGCGGTGCGAATGCGCTTGGGCTTCCTGGCCAGGGCGTTGTGCAAGAGGAAGCTCTCCGGGCTCGTCTCGTTCCCTGGCCGACGGGGCAAGAGCACAGATTAGCCCCGCGCTGCTCTGCTGCGGGCAGAGGACCCCTTTGCTCACTGCCCTCATTCAGGCCCCTCATTGCAAGGCCCGGGGTGCGGCGCAGGGAAGAACCGAGGAATCAAATCCACTCGGGGAAGCGAGGGCCCGAGCCCCGCCCTGCCCCTCCGCGACCCCCGGGCCCCTCCGCGCACCGCGGCCCCTTCTTGGGCTCGTTCACCCGCTCCGGAGCCGCTCCGCACTCGCCCCTGCGCTGCCCCGCAGGGATCGAGGCCCAGAGAAAGCCCAGCCCGGCCCGAAGGCTGCTGCACGGGCCCGGGGGGCTCCGCTCGCCACGAAACCGAGCAAAATAAATACAAGGGGCCAAGTTGCATTCCCCACTGTCCCCGCCCTGCCCTTGACGAGCTGCCCCGGGTGGCCGGGAGGAGGCCTCCTCCTCTGCCCCGGCCTCTGCAGCCCGCGCTGGGACCGATGCTGCGGGCAGGGAAACCTGTCATTTTGCTCCGAGAGGGCAGCAGCCGCCTCGGTGAACGGGCCAGAGGGGATTGATTTTTTAAAAGTAAATAAATAAGGATAACTCTCTCCCCCACCCCCAGCCCTACCCCATCCTTTCTTTCTTTCTTTCTTTCTTCCCTTCTTTTTTATTTTTATTTTTTTCCCTTTGGGAAGCGGCTGGGTGCGGGGAGCGGGCGGGACGGCGGGGGGAGGAAACCTGCCCTCGGAGGAAGGGGGGGA